ATAACAAAGAAACTGTTACTTAATTCAAGGTCGCGAATATTTACACCTATGTTTCCTTCTAAGAGTTTTATGGTCTCAGCTCTTACACTTAGGTTTTTCAATCCATGTTTAGTTAATTTTTGTATATGATGGGAGAGAGAGGTCCAGTTTCATTTATTTGCATGTGGAGGTCCAGTTGTCCTAGCATCATTTTTTGAAAAGACTATTCTTTCCTATTGAATGGCCTTGGTAACTTTGTAAAAAATTAACTGAGGGTTTATATCTGGACTCTCAATTCTATTCCATCGATCTATATGTCTATCCTTATGCCAATACCAAACTGTCTTGATTACTTTAGTTTGTACTTAGTTTTGAAATCCAGAAGTGTTAGTCTTCCGACTTTTTTGTTGTTGTTTTTTTTTTCAAAATTGTTTGGGCTATTCTGGGTTGCTTGCAGTTCCATATGAATTTCAGAGTCAGCTTATCCATTTTCTCTCTCTTTCGTAGCCTTTCTCTCCCTCACTACCCCTCCATTTCTAACACCCTAACTATAGTGGTTCAAGTTTAGGCTGCAAACTGAAGGTGGATTCAGGGACTATGTGACCATGAGCAAATGACTTCACCTCGCTGTACAATGAAATACATTATACCTTCTCTACTGGTCATTATTGTAAAGATTAGATTATATTTGATAATAAAATAAAACTCATGGAAGAGCCTGTGGACTACTCAGACCATCAGCAGCTTGTAAACAACTTGTAACAAAAAAACAAAAACAAGAATGACCACCTTTTAGGGGGCACTTGATCTGTGCCAGACAGGCAGCTAAGCACTTGACATTAATCATCTCATTCAATCTGCATAATAACCCCTGAAGGTATATATTGTCATTAATTCTCATTTTATAGATGAGGATACAGACACCAAGGCATGGGGAAGTTAACTAACGATTACATAGCTAAAGAACTGAGCTAATGGGTTGCCGTGAGTCACCGACAATGGCGTAGGCTGCAGCCCCTGCTGCAATGGGTTGCCATGGGCTACCGTGTGTAGCCAGCAGCCAGCGTGAGCGGCCATTCAGAAGCCGGCAACTGATCTGCCTCGCCCGGGAAGAGCACAATGATGGTGCCAACTTGGGCCAGTGAAGCAACGTCCTCCACAACTAGACTGAAGA